TTGTTCCTACTTATCAAAGGTATCAGTACAGGTACAATCAATTAACGAGTCACACATTGAATAAAATATGCACTCTGGATTCCACTGATATCATCAATCCATCTATTATGTTATTTGGTATAAGAACTGATCTTACCACAATATTCATATAGTTATCCATTTATATTAGTTTATATAAAATTGTAATTTAAACGCTTTATAGATCAAAGCTTTATTCTTCTACAATTTACAAGCGAAAGTATAAAAGTTCCATAATATCTTACCTAGCAGATATACTCTGTGACGAACAAGTTGTTAGAGTTAACCTAATCAACAACCTGCATTCTTAACAATTCTTGAATTTGGGAGGTTGTACAGTTTTTCAGATTTTTTTTACCTTTCTTCCTTTATTTTGTCTTTATTTTTGTTTATTTCGTAAAAGAAACCTGTTGAAATACCTTGTGCTGAGAATTCTATATTGTACCAAAACATAATATTGAATAAAGCCATTGATAATAATAAACACATGATCAATAATTGTAGTAGAAATTATCTGTATCTCATACTCAACCACAACTCCGCAGACGCATCCACTCTGTCTTGTTTTACACCAATAGCTTCAGTACTCATAGATACATACTTTTCCTTCCTGCTTCTTGAACCGTGTTTTAAGTGCTTAGTCTTTTTCATTATCACTGCTACTAAACTATTATTTTATGATGTTTAAGCAGAATGTTAGAATCGTAATTGACAAAGAAACTAAAAATACATATATAATCCAGAACACCTATACACAACTATAATACATTTTTGAAAACATAGTTCTTTAGACTATAGCTCCATTTGGCGGCCTGCTTGAGTATTTAAGTTACCTGTTCCATCTAGATATTTCAAGAAGTTATCTGTTTTTTCTGTTTGTTTTAACACATCATAATGTCTTTTATTCGCATAACCTATTCAGTTATGTTTATAAAACTTATACGACATTTCGCTGTACAAGTTATAAAAAAGCCGAATCAAAGAAATCGTGGTTCCTGGCAGTATGCATCAAAAAGAAATTACATCATTCGGATGTCGATTCGTGAACTGCTTACATGTAAATGACGATCACTCAGTATTTATCGTCAGGATAGATGAAAAAATAAGGAAAGGAAACTTGTTAGAATATTTTGTGCTGAGGGTTCTATATTGTACCAAAAATGTAATATTGAATAAAGCTAAGAATGATAAAAAATAATAGTAAAGAACTGAAATTGCTAACTTATCTGAAACAATCTCATCTATTAGAATTTGGTTAAGCGGAGAATGTCACTAAATAACCAGTTGTATGTTTATGGTTCTTAATTGTCAAACTTGTTTTATGTGATGTCATTTAATAATGTAAGTTATACTACATAATTTTATTTATATCAGTACAATGAATTTGGTAGGAATTGGCATTTAATTATTCAAATTATATAAATTGAAAAGTTTCCTAATTGAATGCTTGATTTGGTTGCTAAGCTCTTCTACTAACCCCCAGGCTAAATCTACACAGCGACTTGAACACGAAAGAAAAGGCACGAAATATGAAAGAAACGCTTTACTCCAAAGGTTCGTTTATGTACAGAAAATTTACAAATTTAATAATGTTTTGGATTACCTTGGATTTCCAGAAATTTCTGGAACGCTACTAAACATAATGGAACTAAAGGTAATCATCCAATCAGAAACCCGACATGTGACTTTTCACTTTCGAGATATTTCTGGCAAAACTCCTATTGAATACTGATTGGATAAGATGCCTTTCAGCATTTTCAGAGGCTCTTTTGACTTTTTTTCAATGAGTTTTCTAGATCCCCTTAACATAAATATTTTGTTGTTGTTGTTGTTAATTATATAGACATTTTAAAAATGTATGTTTTAAATTTCCTTTGTTTAAACTCTTTAGTTCATAAGTACCAAGTTTAACTCTCATAGAATATTTGAAACACATACATTCAGCTTTTTCCCCACTTAACTCAAGGGTTCACTTCTGTTCTTAATGATTTGGATTTTCAATGCATTTGAAAGTTTTGAAAAATTAATTCATTGTATGTAAAAACAATAAAGATTTTGAGCAAAGATGGATTGTGGCTAGCAGTGGAATCCAGGACGCGCGTTTCATCCTCTTTGGGGCTCGTCAGCTTCATATACCTGCATCACAGATTTGATGTTCACTCTGGGACTCGGACCCAGTACCGTTCGCTTAAAACGCCATCGCATTATCCACTTAGCTACTGAATCGTGATAGTCGAATAGGACGAAACGCGCGTCCTGGATTCCACTGCTAGCTACTAACCATATTTGCTTATAGTGCTTGTGAATTAAGGCAATATCGAGGCAATACGCACAGTATGCACATATACCAACAAGAGACTGGTCGATTACAGTCCTAAACATCAATGAGCAAATTCAAATAAACAATACCAAGTGAATTTAATAAAGATTTTGTTTAGTATTTAATTAATAAGTTTACTTTCCATATGTTTAGTTCAGAATAATCAATTACATATTAAAGAAAAATTAAAAATATATCAGCCAAGAAAACTTTGTTTTCGACAAAATCATTCTCTAATGCTGTATAATTGTATTTATAGTTAATTTTAAAAAAAAACCCAGTAATCTGTAACAACAAAGGTATGTTATGTCGTTCAAATGAGTAATAAGCAATAATCAGACCTTCTGTACGTGGAAGACAATAGTTTGTATTCAAATCGAGGTTTTCAGTATTAAATTGATATTAAACCATAAGTTGTTCGGATAAATGAAATATCTTAAAGATATTGTGTAATTATCTGACAGCTTATGAAAACGTCTTAAAGCAATGACAATATATAGACGAGTGTTAACTTTCCAACTGATTTAGATGAAAAACAGAATAACTGGGTGTTGTAATAAAAGTGAATAAATTATTATGAAAAAAATTGGAATTGAGTTAAAATGATAAATCACTGCTAGAATGGTTTCATCTATCCTCTTTGACTTCAGACCTCTGTCAGTAAACCAAGGTGGATGGCCGTACCTAATAATGATCTCCAAGAATTTACCTACTTCAATGTCAATCGTGTAATTCGTACAAACATATCTGGCGATTATTAATAGAGAGTAAAGTAAGTTTCTTTTCTGACTAAAATAGACACAGCTTCGAAAATTCTTGTACTACTCCGATCCAAGTTAGGTTTCTATATATTGATTTATGTAGGGATCTATCAGATCATCAAAACAAAGCACCCAAAAAGTTGATTTTAGAATCCAACTCCAACTTTTTTGTATGATTTATTACTGCGTAGATGTCACCGACTCCCTTCAATATATTATTGACTTCGATATTTTTGTCACAAATGACTAAAGTATCGCATAAACACTTCGATCGTAGGGTGACATATTATGTTTCCCAGATATTCCATGGAACAGTCGATTAGCAGTGAATCGAATACAGACCCTGTCAATATTATCCGTTTTTCTGCAAAACTCAAGACTAAATTTATAGTGGATGTTAGGAAGAAACCAAAGAAGTAATTTTTTCAGATATCTCAAAGTACAAATATGGAAGATAGTGTTTTCAACATAGTGATATGAAAAAACAGACTGTTTCCGCGAGAAAAATTTGTAACGAGAAGAGTTAGTACCTTACTTACGCCTGTTACTCCTAGTGGAGCATAGGCCGCTGACCAGCATTCTCCAACCCACACTGTCCTGGCCCTTCCTAGCAAAATCATTTTTTCAGTCTCATTAACATTAGGTATTTAATAAATAAACCCATATTTTTCAACGTTGATGTATCTATTGAGCTGATTTTTGATTAAATGTAGAATTTCAGCTAGCCATTAAGCAGTAGAATGTTGTGTTCAGTTATATCGAAGGTCACTGGGTTATCAAAATACTAACTGATCTTTTTTATTGAGATCACGAACCGATTGATGTAAGACCACCACTGAAAACCTGAAAGCACTGGACGGCCGTTTCGTCCTATTGTGAGACTCCTCGGCAGTGCGCATTCACGACCTCGCCCGCGGGGTTCGAACCCAGAGCCTTCAGTCCTGCACGCGAACGCCGATTTGTTTGAAATTTCATAAGATCGATGAAATAAAATATTTTACCAAATTATATAAAATAAACAAGTTACTAAGTTTTACTTCTAAAACAGTTAAGCTTTGATGTTGAACAAGTCTTCCCTCAAACACCCATAGTGAAATTATCCAAATTTCATTCATAAACTTTGTAATAAACTGCTACTCGGTTGATGCATAAACCAAATAACATTTATTACAGTTCATCTTCAGATTGATCAATTTGACTTCGTAAAAAATTATATGAACATTGCAGATAAAGTTGCGCATTTTCAATGACTTTATTATTGAAAACTACTGGTCTATATGTAGTGTACCATCCTTACGTAAAAGTTGAAAATCACTTGTTGGATACTCCTCTATGATATAAAGGTAGTTTAAGTTACGTAAACAAAACAACATTACTTATAGTGACTTTTAAGTATAAACCAGGTAGTACAAAAAACAAGGGATTAAATGAATTTCAGTAGAGTAACATTTGTATGCTTTCCTCAATAAGAAATAAGTTATTTCTAAAAAAAACAATATTATTTGTACATTCAAACACTTGAATGTAAGAATAGCTATTATGATACATTTTCTAAGTGTACTTAAACAAATACCTTACTACTAATGATTATTAACATATTTCGATCCAGATGTAAAATGATTATAATCATTACATATAATCCAATAACTATTGAAAACTAGAAAGTGTGAAATTTCATGTACTAAATAATTAATATCAGATGGGTTTTGTGGATATTATAGTAATTTCAATGGTTAAAATCATGAGTCAGTTGAAGGTAGACCACCATGGAAAACCGGAAGCACTGGACGACGCGCGCGAAACCAAAAACAATAAAACGAAACGGCCATCCAGTGCTTCCACGTTTTCCATGGTGGTTTAGCTTCAACTAACTCGTGATCTTAACCATTGAAAACACTAAATAATTACTTAGAAGTTTCATTAATATTATCGATCGTTGAGGAAATTAACTGTTAATTTAATATAAACAACAACAAAGAGTTCAATAGTTCGAATATTTAAATTCTGAACATTTCAAAACACTCCTCTTCATTCAAAACAGTTAAAAATAAAACACTAAATAATTAAAAATACTTATTCAATTATAAATGATCTTTCAAAATTACAAAATATGAATTGGCTAATACATTGAAATTGTACTCATACATTATATCACTCATAAATCAAAATGTATTTCTTTATAACAATAAAATAGAATCAAAAATTATTATTCAAAAAAAGAAAACAAACAATCTCTTGTTATCCCAGATAGTATGTATATAAAAATAAAACGAAGTCAACATAAAAACAGTAAAAGCCATAATCACAAATAAAGATATGTTGGTTGAATATTCATCAAAGGAGAAAGAGAGAGAGAGAGAAAGGGAGAAGTTCCACAAATCTCACAATCACCATCATCATCATCATTGTCATTTTTATTATTATGGTAACGAAGTTAGAAATGTGAAGTTACACGAATATGAAGTTTAAAAAAATACAAAGTAGAAAACTATTAAAATACAAAATGTCACCACTACCATCACCATCACTAACAACCATAACAGTTAAAAATAATTAACACTTGAAATTTATACCTCATTAACAAGAAAATAGAAATGTTAACATTTCACAATAAATAGAAATACACTTCTCAACTGTCCTAACAACAAACGACTTGAGAACAATACGCACAGATAACTTACAAGTATCACACAATTTACACAAAACAATGTTGACAACAAAAGTAAATTATCACATGGAAAATATGAAGTTAGAATATCTGCCTAAATTGTGGATCATTGATAAGGTAACTAGTTATATTGACCACCTGGTTTTCTGGAGTACCGTAATGTGGTGGTACACCCAAATCAGCGTAACCAAGTGTTTTCAGTATATCACTTTCTCGGTGTATTGATGAGATGAAAGATTCGGGCAACACTGAATTACTTGAAGCCCATGAAGTTAGTGAAGCCAAGTGTATTGGATGAACAACCTGTGAAGTACTCGGTTCGAGTCTGTGTGTATGTATAACAAGAAAAGTGGTTAATTGAGGTGTGAATTTCGTCATGTCGGATGAATTTAACTGACAAACTAATGGACAACAGTGTCTCCATCAAAAACTCTGTAGATCACGTTTTTTCAGAGATTTAAAATTTCCACTCTTATGATGTTGCAACTAGCAGTGATGTACCTGTAAATGAGATGTATGGGTTTAGTGCATTTGTCAGGTTATTGGAAATTATCGACAGGAAACTCTCGATCTAGATTTCGTACTAGTCGACGCCAGTACTCAAACTTAGTTATTATCATGAGGAGATCGATGCTTCCTATACATTTCAAATGATCGTCATCAAGTCACACTATCTTAGACATTGTCACTGAGTAATTTTAATAGCTATTGAAATAATGTGAGATCGAGATATTCACAATTAACTGACCACTATGTTGTGAATAATGTGGTGTTTTTGAATTTCTTTAAAAGCTGATCGGAACCTCGGTGGTCAGTTTATTAGGTTGTGTCAATTGATAATCACATGCAAATGAATTCATTATCTTCGCGACTTACTTGCTTAGAGAGCTTTGACTCATAGCCGTTTGATGGTGAAGAACGATTGGATCCCATGGTAATTCGAGAAATTCTACAGAAACAAACATATACAAATGACAGAATAACACAGTTATAATTTAAATGTGGTTTACGGTTATCATAAACTGAATGTGTTCTGTTCATTTTGGAGGTGTTCAATATACCTGGAAGTATTGATATTGTGAATAAATTTACTGATGATAGTTAGAGTGCAAAATATTTTATCTCACTTCTTACGAAACTATTTTCAGTTATCGATTTTTCAACACAAGTTGGTTGGTATTTCACACCGTTTATTTTGTTCATTTGTATTTATCATTCAAAGTTATACCCGGGGAACGTAGAAATGTGAAGTTGTAAACAACTGATGAAAATCTATGAAATGAAGTGAATCTATATTATTTCACTTCAGTTGACAATATGTGAGTTGGATGTTTTCATGTTATTACTCTGGGACAACACACCACTGCAAACATAATTCAATAACAAATTAGAAATGAAAGTTGATTGTTTTCGATAGATTTAAAGAGTAATAATCGAAGATAGAATTCATGACTGCAGTCAACTTAATACTTTATGTCAATGTCAGTATCAGTTTTTAAGACAGTTCTCAATGTGCTTTGATCACATGAGAGCTTCGTTTCTCAAATGCATACGTAATTGCCGAAAATGGAACAACAAAGTAATTCATGGATTTATTCGAGAGAACGTATTCGTCAATGAAAATACCTCTTTCGACAATTCTTTATATTCAAGTTGAACAATCACATCCACAGGTGATTTTTACATGCATAATATCATTGATAAAATGGAAAGGTGTCGCATTACTTAACAAATCACCAAAATTTATCAGATGTTCTCATGTTTTGGTTGGACATTAGTATAAAATTCTTAAAGATAATATGAAATCATAATTTATGGGAGAAACGTAGACGTTAACTGTCTACGTGTGTATATGAAGAATGGTTCAATGAGAATAAACAACTGACTAAATCAAGAAGAAAACTGAGAAGTTAGAAGAAATGTGATAACAGCTGGTTGTCGAATATGGGAGGAGGGAAGATATGTTGAGTTCATAGAAACCGACAAATTTCTAAAACCTCTGTGTTGCATAGATTCTCAAATCGACTCATCCTTAAACCAATTCATTTGAGCACATGGATGACTGTGAAGGATGATATTGGTAGAGAAACTTGGTCAGAATTTACAAGAACCTCTGGATCTCATCTATCGACCGTCTCATTAGTTTGATAGACGATTAGGATAGCACTAGGAGATGTGTTCATAAAAAGTCCTGTTTATGCTACCCGTGTAGCCTCCTCCACAAGAGAGAGTAAATTGTAGATGCATATTGATTTCGTCAAATGTCATGCTTGTCCTTGACACATTTACGAATCCAAGGTCGGTTAGTTTACACTAAGTTATTAAATGATGACACATCCCTCTATTTTACTGAACATTACCATGTGTAAGAAATCACCTCTAAGTACAAATGTACGATTTACGGAAATCGCAACACTGAGCATATTTTTATTGCTGAATATTCCTTATATTTCGTAAATGAACTGAACTCAGTGACGATCACATTCTAACTTGCTACGTCATTATGGAATTTAAATCATTCTCATGCATTTCGAAATAGATTTAATGGATGAAAAAATATGATTAGTTATGTCCACATATATATATGCGGATTGGTCCCTAATTAAAAGATGTCTGAGTTCTGCACTGCATAAAGTAAAACTGATTTCAACAATTGAATTTCTAATATATGTTATTAATTTGGTCTTGTTATAGGTTGTATGATGGAACAGAAATATGACATTATTTAGCTCAATATTTCCATTTATCAATACATTTAAAGATATCGATGAAACCGTAAGGCGAAGAACAGAGAACTCATATGAAACGACAGGTTGACTTCGCGCATTCTTATCATTTGCATATGAACTAAACACAGTAGTATTAATCATCAGAAATCAATGTACATACTTTGTCAGAAATGTTCTGAATAATAAGGTTTATTGAAAAGGACGACAACTAAGGAAGAACTGTAAGAGATGACGACGTTACATAATGTGAATATTTATAGGTTGAATGTAAGAATATTCTATAACGAACAACGAAGAACACATAAACAGAATTATTAAAGTATGAGATATATGTGTTATATTTATTCAACCCTTAAAACAAAATCGATTAACTGAGTACAGATCAGATAAGAAGTGAGGTAATAATTATTGTCAAGAGAAGAATCCAATAACAAACATATATGAATAAGGTCATCATAACAAAGCAAGTTTGGCGACTGAATATTTTGTGTGCAAAGATTTGTTCTGTATATTTATATGGCAATCGCTTCATCAGAACGTAGTAAATTTGAAACTATGTGTTTATTAATTATCTTCAAGATCATTACTTAGCAACTAAATATCACTTACAAATTATCTATACTTTTTGCTCTTTTAGGAATTTTGCTCAATAACGAGCATTTTTACGATGTCACGATATGAAGTATGTAAGCAGATTTCCAATGAATAATACTATCATGCTTAGGCTGTAAGCAGCTGATGAGAAACTATGAAATTCAATGACTTACTGTTATTTTGCTAAGTTAATTGATCAAACTTTAGTGCTATTTATCAGTGGTAAAATTTGCATGTAATTCAACTAAGTAGAATCAGTATATCTAAAAACGCTTTTTCATAATAATCACGGTGGGCCACAGATTCAACGATATATCAAGGCCTAAAAATCTACTCGATGTAAATGAGGACAGTCGATGAGCCAGTGAAATATTGTTCGACTGACGTTGCTCTATTAAATGTTATGCATCCCAAAGTTGTGAAGTTGTTGATTTCTCCCTTTCTTCTCGCTAGCAAAGCATCTCAAATGATAATGGTCTACTTCCGTGTATGGTACTTGAAATAACTTTGGCCTTAAGTTAAGCATCACTGTCTTTTAGAAACATTCTAGCGAAAAGTGAAAATGATAATTATCTTGATGATTTGTATACGACGATATATATATGTGTATCTCTTACCAAACAGTTCACCCAGAACTTCTCTCGGTCTGAGTACCAATGATTCATATTTGATTGTTGTGCATCGTTTGGGCCCGATAACTGCACATGATTTTAAAATCTGATTTACTCGATTTTCCCATGCAAAAAATTTTTCATCTATAAGTTCAGGTGCTCCTTTGATGGTAACATGTCGTCTGAAATTTCAAGAGAAAGTAATAGAAATCAATCTATTAAATTATTTGTTAAAAATGATTAACACTTGTTATGATATGATTAATCGGAAACTCATTCCTCTGTTAAATTACTTTAAGTAGTTTTACATGGAACTTTTATATTCTACCAAAATATGCAAATAAACATTAATCCGAAGTGAATGAATTCTTTCACACTGCCTCCATTGTTTCCTTGTATTCTAAATAATGGAAGCATCCATTGAAATGATAAGTATTTCCAATGGAAATATATTATTTTTTGTCTTGAATGTAAACAAATGGAAAATATGCTTTATTATAGCTAATAATGATGATAAAAGAATGTTTACCTGATGAAAACTGCTTCACCATCTACATTTTATTCACAGATTATAACAGACAAACGGGAGTAATTAAATAACGAATCTATGAGAACGTAACTTTCGTTGATAAATTATTTCATTATAATATGTGTTAAACTGAAAATCAATATCTGTCTTATTAACACGATAAGCTTGTGTTACTATAACCATCAATAAATGAACGATGTTATTTTGTTTACTCTTCCCGGATCACAGAGGACTTCATTGAATTGATCTACCACGTTACAATTATTCCTAGTAAGTGAACACTCCGGAGCATTTTATTTGGCATAAAATATATATTGTCAAGTAACAGAAAACTTAACCCAATAAACTCATTTCTAAGGTAGTTAAGAGTAGTCGACAGGAAACTATAAACTTAGGTTTTGTGTTCTTTATCCCTAGTTTGTAAGATGTGCCTGTAATCTTAATGGAACTGGTAATTCCTGCTGGACTAGGCAGATATTAAATGGGTCACTGCTTAGTTATCAATCACCTACAAATAAATTAGTCCCTCAAGAGATTTGTTGCAGCCCCGACGATTCACTAGTTATGTCTCAGACTGTGAAATCGAGTAGCATGAGATCGTAAACCACCAGGTAGCATCAGTCTTTTGAAGATTACATGCACATCTTACTGACGAGTTCTAAATAGATTTTTCCGATGTTCAACCAACTAATATCTCGTTATGGCGTACGCAATATTAACTCATTTAGACTGGTAACCATACTACAATTTAATCGATAGAATTCGGTCAACACCAAAAGGACTAGACAAATATGAAATAGTTCATTATTCACTGGTCAATAGATTGTAAATATGCTCAGCTAGATGTTAAAATAAAGTAATCTTGATCAGAGTACCATGAACTTGAAGTTGTCGACCACAGTGTTGAGTAATGTAATTACCAGAATTAGGACTGACTGTAACTATGCCATAAGAATAAACCTTAGCAAAAACAAAACCCAAGTTTGACTTTTCTTAATCTGTACTATTGGATGATTATTAGAAAACAGTTGATAATTTCTGATGATAAGAATTTTACATATAGCAACACATTTACAAAGTCGGTTGACATATTCAAGTTTATCACTGAAAACTTTAATATAACCATAGGAAAATTAAGCTTGTCGAATATCACATTTTTTATTTTATTGAAATATCCCACAGTAAATGCTAAATTTCATAACATTTCTCCTTCAGATAATTACAATAACCCGTTGTGTCACTGAATAAAAATAAGGAGAACTCGGTGAAGAAAATTTCTTCTACGATGAACTCATTTACTTAAGCTGTACATTCGTATTTATAGTTAAATGGGAAGTATATGTCCATAGAAGTATAGAAAAGATTGCATCGTAAATATAGTTATTCGAAAACGATATAGATAATATAAACGAATGAGGTAATATTTGATTTGGAACTTGAACTTTGATAAGATGACTTGGATAATATTCGGAAGAGATTTAAAGAGTTATCATTCCAATTTTTCAAATCACCAATGTATATTATTTAACATTATGGCATTTATCAATATAACAACGATTATAAACAACTGAGTAGAAACCACGAAATTAGAATAATTTATATTACTTTGTCTCAAATACTGTTCTGAATTTACTTAAATTTGATCTGTATTTCGCTTTTTGAGGGATACATTTGTTAGCGATTGAGGTGAAACCGCAAATTTAAGTAGATTCATACTCTTGTACACTTTTCATTGTTCTGGAGTCGCTTAATTTCGTAGAGGGAACTGATTGTACAAAATGTGGAAACAAGTAACTGATTTATAGTTAAAATGACATTTTTAAAAACTACCATGATTCTAATTAGAAGACAAATACAAAACAATAATAATTAGAATATCATATGGTTCAGAAAAATCCAGTCTTCTTAGAACTCGGGTTCAAAGGCGATGAAATAACTGGGACTATTGATTTTAGACTAAAGGTAATGCTAAAATGGACGTATCTAGCGGCCAATTTAGTGTTTTATACTGAAATAAATTGTCATTGAGACAGACAAATGGGAATAGACACTTGCTTTATGTTACCGCTAATTGTGTTTAACACTTTGCATGTATGCTTCAAAGCACATATGGCGTAAGAACAGAGAAGAGGGTTCGTGTCCTCATCTCCGATTATATTCCATAAAGTTGAGATTTAACGGGCAGATTTTTAAAAAATCACTTGCTCAAACTTTGTATGACAATAAGGTTAAAATTTCGAAATCTTTCTAGATGATTAGCAAATAAAGGAACTTAAAATTGCTACTCTTTCCCGAAGTCATTGCAACAAAAAGATTCAAACCCAGTTTAGGTATCCAAAAAGGAACAGTTACTAATATTTTATACGAATATTCGTCAAGATTAGAACGAATAGTTTGACAGTAATTGAGCGCCGAGTATAGAGAAGTCATTATATGTGAAAATTATATTTAAAATATTCTCAGGGATTGAAATTTAACTAGTTCCAACGTTTCATCCAGCTAACTTGTCTGGACTTCTTCAGGGTAATAATCAAAATCAAAACCATCAAAGAAATATATAGCTTTTAACAATCAGGATTATACTGTGTTAAACCAATCATATTTGGGTGTTGATTTTTTGTAAAATAGGATAAAATGAGTCAGTTGACTACAAATCATGTGATGAATTCAACTACATGGAAATACTTAACTGAGTAACAAATCGTATGTGTGTGAGTGTGTATGTATGTATGCATGTGTGAGAGATTGATATGAAGGAATAAATAAAGTTCAAGTTCATATCAATCTCTCACACATGCATACATACATACACACTCACACACATACGATTTGTTACTCGACTAGTTTATATTACGTAATCTATCTTCAGTTTCGAAAACTTCTGTTTTCAGAATATTTCTATATTTAACGTAGAATTAAACGTATTTTTGAACACTATTAATTCTTCTGAAATACTGTCTCTTTATATCATTCTGTCTCTATACATATTAACTCAATGTATTCAAAATGTTTCCGATATAAAGTACATACACTTTTTTGGTTTAAGCAGCTGAGGAGAATCAACGAAGTAAATAAATCCATGTTATGCTGTTACGACATTTGGTCTTTATTTTAAAAAAACCAATAGGAATCCTAGTAGGATTCTAGCTTTCTCCAGAATTCGACTCCCTGAAATTCGAAATAATCAGACGGAGATACAGAATTTCAAACGTTTGATCAAAAACAGTCGGAATAGTTACCAGGCTACATAGATTAATCTTTAAAAAACTCCTTATGAAGTGTGGACATGCTTTTCAAAATATTTTTATTGACAACAAAATATCCTTCCCTATTTCTTATCAATTATATTCTGTGTGTGTTTTTGTCAGATAGCCATTAAAATTGTGACATTTTAGTAAATGAATTAAATCTATTAACTAAAAATAATAACTGAACAATATAGTAAAGTATTCCAATACAGAGTTTCACATGACAGATCAAATGTAGTCTATTTATTAAATAATATAATGTTATTTACACATTCTTTTGCATTTTATCTCTTCAAACTATATTCTTAGTGACTAGTCTATCTCATTATCATTGTGATAAATCGTGTAGGTTGAACGCTATAAACGATTCCTAAAGCTATTTCGGTAACCTGCAGTCTAGAACTACACAGCGACTTGAACTCCAGAGAGAGGACACAAGAATGAGAGAAAACACTTTATTCCAAGGTTCATTCTAGTACAGAAAATCAAGGGTATTTATAGATGTTGGCGTCTGTTAAATTAACATCATATTTCAGCCAATCCGTTAACGTCATATTATGCTACCGACCAATGGTAGCAAGCCACACTGGAATTCTCGAACGTTCCATCACACTCTGATTGGCCAGGACTCTTCGGCTCCTTGTGGGCCTCTGGAGGCTCCCTCGAAGTTCTCCGGAAGCCGACCCAACACCTCCCCCGAATAAGATTTCTTTCTTAGATCCACTTGTAGTTTGATAACTGGATTGCGACGGCGTCCCATTATTCTTGTCGTCTTTCTTGTCCAAGACTTCTTTTCAGTGTTCCTGGGAGTTTGTGGCATTGGTGTGTCTAAGATTAAATTTAACGGGAAAATCGGCCGGTTACTTCGAGTCTGCACCGTTCTTTTGTCCTTAAGGATTTGATTTGTGTGACGTATACATGTCCCAAAAGCTTCTCGAACTCTGTACAGTACTCTTCCCAGTTTTTGCATAACTTCGCCCGGCTCCCATCGGTTCTTCCCGATGTAGGATTTGATGTATACTTTGTCGCCAACACTGAAGTTTCGGATACTTGGACCATGACTGCGCTCATCCACTAATTTGGATGGCAACATGGCATCGAAGATGGTTCGAATGCGCCTTCCAAACATGGCTTCCGCGGGAGATTCGCCGTCTTGAACATTTGGGTTCGGGGTGGATCTGTATGATGTTAAAAATTTTGTGATCACCTGCCCAGTTGTCCCTTCTCCTCCCCCTTTCATTAATGCTCGTTTAAAAGTGTCCACAAAGCGCTCTGCTTGTCCGTTTGATTGTGGATGATAGGGTGGAGAACGAAGATGAGTTATTCCGTTTGTTCTACAGAAATGTTTAAACGATTCTGCGGCAAACTGCGAGCCGTTATCTGTCACTAAGGTCTCTGGTACTCC